AAAAAAAAAAAAAAAAAAAAACCCAAAAACCCCAGGGTAGAGTTTGAATTAAAAAAAAAAAAAAAAATTAGCCTGAGCCTGACTTCTAGAATGTACTTGGGTACATCCTAACCTGCATGTCCAAGTGTTCTGGGTTTGGTAACTCACCAAATGACAGGGTAGTTACATAGTTATCTGGTATATCTCGTACTACATTTTCATACACCAGTTGCAAAAACCACCTCTCTGAGCATTTTCAGCTTTGACAACCAACTCCAACAGTCTTGCTTCCACTGTTTTTCTAAAGAAGGTAACATTTCACTCTCTCCAGCACCTCTGCTGGCAAGTTGTTGGTTACCGTTATCTCCAGCATCTCCAGCATCCACTGGCGGTCTCTGTTTTAAGACTAGAAGGGCAGGTGGGACAATCTAACCTCAGAGAAGCTGCCCCTCCTCCTCCAGAAATCTCGGCAAAAAGACTCGCTAGCTAGACGGTAGGAAAAGCTAAGCTTCTCCAGCCGGCATGCTTCCTACCAGCCCACACAACGAAACAGAGAATTAGCCCCTTCCCACCGCTTCTCCTGACCCTCCTACTGAACTCCTTTACGGGCACAAGTACCTTGCTGAGCTCAGGGGTTATTATATTACAGTCCTGTGAACACCTAAAGCTGGAAAAGGAGGGATTTTCACAGTCATCACCATCATGCAGCAGGTTCACAGCAAAACCCATCTCTCACCTTGTTGACCTCTAGGAAACCATACACTTGGCAGCCCTCGTTCTTCTGCTCTTGCATTTTCTGGCTAAACCCTTCCCTCTTGCACTGCTCTATGGTATCCGGATTCTTGAAGGCCCAGCCTCGCCGCCTGTATGCTTCTCTGACATCGTCACAAGTATTACAACACCTGCAAAAGCACAAGCACCATCTTACCATCTTTATCGCTAGAAAGAGATGCTCCAGCTCGGGACTTGAATCCTTGGTGGATTCTTCTTCAACAAAGCAACAAAGCAAACATCAGGGACCGAACCTTGAAAGGCGGCCTAATGCTCCTGAAGGAGCTCGAGCTTCTTGATGTGCTTTTTGAGATTTTGGCATGAGGATGCAAGCTGTTTTAATGCAGTGCTTGAGTCTGAAGAGGGCTTTGCCTGTCCATTTAGACAGCCAAGGCACTCCTTGGCAAAGAAACTTGCTACAAAAACGACATCAGTGTCCCACAGTTCTGAGCAGTTTGGAACTTCCCCGTGTGAACAAAGCATCTGCCTGTTTCTATTCCTCCTTTCCTCTGTTTCTAGGGCAAGACTGTCAACGTTGGAGGGAGGGTTAGCGGCAAGCTTTCTTCATTACTTTTCTACCTCTGGATAACATCTTGGTCACCGGAAAAAACAGTTTTCTTTCTTGGTTCCAGGTTTTGCTGGACCAAAGAAAATGTTGAAGGCTGGAATCATGAATGCCTCAAGACGGAAACATCTCTGGGGAAGGACGCAACTTGACAGATGGGACAAACCAAGTTACTACAGAGACAATAATAGCGAAGGATAGTCCAGAACCTATGGACTATCACAGATCCATTCTTACAGGAATTTGCAGGCAGGACAAATGAGAAACACCACATGACACCTGTTGTTTGTGTGAGCGATAAATGTCTGGTCTTTGCTCCCGTAAGGATGCAAAGCCTGCAGCAGAAGTGAGAAGGCAAAGCCATAACCAGCTTTTATTCCAAGACAGCTCACGTAACGATGAAATAATTTACACAGCTCCCCTCTGGACACCAAATAACCCCCAAAAAGATTCCGCTTGCTGAGATACAATCTTTGTGCTACTGCAAAGGTAGTGCAATTTCCCCTGCCCTTAAACAGGTGTCTAGACAAACTAGACAACCTAACTCTGCACGTTCTTAACAATCATGAGTGCAGCTTCCAAAGGCATACCAAAACCACAACAGTTCTCATCATTCTCTGAACACGTGCCCAGGAGGATTTCATTGCGCAGACCTTCGCAGACAAAAAAGGTGCACGCCACATAGCTGTATTAATTCAAGTGCTAAGAAGATACGAAAAGGTGTAAAGGTTACCGAATGTCCTCTGACTCTGCCCCGTAGCAGCTCTCACAGCGATCAGCATCCAAAGCATTTGGATCAAACACTTTTTCTTCTTCTTTCCCCAGCTCTAAGACAAAAGAGGATTCAAAGTGATGAGGCATATCTAGAAACACTATCTCGTACTCTTGTTTTGTTCTACGCACAATAACTGTTCTACACATGAGCAAAACGATTTTGTGTCAGAAGCTGCGCATCCTGCACCCAAAGCCCACCTGAAATGGTACGCATAGAGCCTGCGGAGGTGTGAAGTAAGACCAAGAAGCAGAGTAGCATTTGTCCTCTCAAGAACACCCTCCATAGAAAGAACTGGCTATTTGTAAGCCTTGCTGGAGCACTGATCAGATGTTACTTGCATAAAGGCTTTGTTAAAACATTGTCTAAAGCACACCCAATCAGTAAATTGCGACTGATAACAGGACCTGTTACACAAACAAAATTTTAAGGAGCGGTCAACTGCAGTCAACAGCGCATAACACATAATCCTGTCCCAAGACAAGTAGGGAACACGGTTATATATTGCTGTGAAACAAGATCAGAGCGGGAGTCTCCCGAGTGGAAAATTGACACCCAGTCCTCCAGGATGACAATGCTGACAAGGCACACACGTTAACCACTGCTCACTAGAAATCTCCAAGGAATTTCTACCTTCTTCGTGACTTAACAATTCTGCCAACGTCTGTGCCACGTGCGTGTTGAATGGGCAGCCGCAGTATGGCTGGGGCAGGAACTCATGGAGTTTTACGTTCTTATGTGCAGAAGGCTGAAGAGGGATTTGTAACAGAGGAGATGAGAGCTGGTGGCAGCTGAAACCCGCCAAAGGGCACGAGATGCCTACAGAAAACTCAAACGGGACTTTTGTTTTGTCAAGAACCAAAACAGATACCAAAGGTCTGCAAATTTTGGAGTTAGGAATAAGTAAGCCGAGGAATTTTGTGCCTAAAGTTTTCAAAAACATTGGCTCTTATAATAAGAGGCCCCCTTAAAATCAGGCTGTTTCAACTCACAAATCCTGAAGGACAGGACCAAGTCTCTTGGGTTACAAAAGCCCTCCAAGGCTCACTATCTAGGCACTGCTGCACTACCCTCTATAAGCCTTGAAAAGGTGGCTCCTTGGATAACTAATGCTGGGGAAGGTGAAACGGTACACAGACACTGCTGAGGGGATAAAACGTTATCAGGGCCTCGTTTGTTGAGATTGGGAGGTACAACAGGCAGACGGAAGCGAGTATTAAAGATGTTTGTATTTCGTATTAGCCACAGAAAAAAAGAGATTTTAATCAGAAAGTATGAACTATGCATGAAAATCAACCATTAACCTGATTTCTTTAATCAAACACTTCATGGTAGTTATGATCAAGCAAATAAAAACTTCTATGAAAATATACCCATTATTAAACAACTGTGCGAGACTTTCTTTCTAAAGCTTACAACATCCAAAGTAGTTGAAAGTGCACTTAAGAATTCATTGTTTAAAAAGTGGTATGGCTTTTAGTCTTGTAATTACACTGAAAGATAGCGTCAGGAAGAATGCAGATTAATAATTGCCACACTTTGTCAAAGCCATGATTCCCACCATCTGAATAAGAACACCTGTACAATACATGGAGTCTTTCAAGATACAGCAACCAGTAACAGCTTTTTAAATGTAATCAGTAGCTGCCTGTTGAGTAGTCTCAGAGACAGCATCCAGAGGTAATGCACACAGTTTAGATACTATAAAGAAACTGCAGCACATGAAACTCTACACGCAGGGTTTCTTGCTGTTAACGTGGTCCTCAACTTGCATGCAGGTATGATACGTGAAATTGGAAAACTCTGTTCATGTCAAAAGGAAGCAAACAGTAAGAACCACCAATAAAGAATTCAATCATTTATTGTCATTGAATGGAAATGACGGTATTGTGCGTAGAATGGAAACGCCGACATCCAAGCACAGAATGCAACCTATCATAGAAATCATTAAGCTATTCTAATGTTACTATGATCAGGAAAAGCCTCCAGATACTACTCCACAAAACTTGGGTACGCTCTACTAAATTTAAGGTCAATACTGCTATAGTTGCCATTTAAATAATTGACTGAACGTCAGTGTTACTAATAGAAACTGATAATCACAGAGTTTAATGAAGATGGGTGGATACTTCTGATCTGACTTGCAACACGGGTGATGGAAACTGAACTAGCCGTGCGCTTTTTCCAGACAACAGAAGAAATTGCTTGTTGCATGCAATGCAGCTGATCTCTTTCAAAATGCCTCTTCTAGGTGAGATGGTTTGCTCCCTACAAGTTTCTCTTCCTCTCCATTGATTAAGTAAGGAGTCAGAGCAACCGGTTCAGACGGAGTAATCCTGATGGAGACTGGCAATTCAAGTAAGGCAGGAGGCGTACATGTGTTAACAGAGAGTTAGATACAGAAAAGCTGTTTTTGTCCCCAGACATTAAATTTGTAATGCCACAACCTCTGAATCCAGAAAGGCTGCTAAGCGACACAATAGTAAGAACACTATCAACACATTCCCATGACAACGGGAGAAACTCTCGTACCTACCGATTGTTCAGCTCTTGGCTTAGTTTAGCCTTTCAACTTCAACAACAGAAAAGTTAAATCTGAGTGATACAAATCAACAAATTTAGTTCATGCTGATACGTAGAACTACACTATCTCCCAGAAAAGGTGATAAGGAGCTCATGTTTTGGAAAGGAAAAGTCAGGGCAGTGTTACTGTTAGACTGCCACACTTTGCCAGAATCGTTTCTGGTTTGTATCGAAGTACAACAATGAGTCATAACATGTAAAAAATGTAGGGGAGAGGTTTTTGTAGCCAAGGACCACTTACTACAACTTGTAACCAATAAATCAACTGAAATATATTTATCAGGTACGCATTAACACACACAAAGTAAATGTAGTAAGGCGCAAGTTTAGGCTTAAGGGTTGAGTCACTGGAGCCTTCCCTGGAGAAAGGCTCTTTCCTCTAACCAGGTTGTCCCATTTGTCAGCCCACTGTGATTTAAAGATGCAACCAAAGCCAAGTTTTGCCTTTGCTTGATTTCTAGCCGTAAAAGACCATTAACTCAGCAGCTTTATTCCTGAAACACATCCATGAGTCCTTGTCGCAATTTCAGAGGGACTAGGCAAAGATTTGCCTCGCAAAAGTAGCGAGTATAACAGGAGTCTGTCTGATCTGCCAGTTTAATAGATTTGTGTGCTATAAACTCTTCAAGAGTTTATGGCGTTTAAATGCTCTTCAGCGGTCACTTGTTCCCGTGAATCTCAAAACAGGCATACAGCGATGGAAAGACTATGAGAGCATCCATCCAAGAAAGGCAGAATAGCATCTTACCGTGTCTCTCGGCCTCTGGAGTCACACGATTGCCAGCTTTATCCAAACGTTGTTTAAACAGATTGTGCTCTACATCCAGCTGCTGCTCTCCTGCTACGTCCATGGCATCGATGCTCAAATCTGAAACCAGCGAGCAAGGAAAGTGGTTGATAAACACACATTTGTTATGGCCCGAGGCAGGCTGAGGAAGCATTCAACCAGTGAAAATACAGAATCTTTCAGCGAGGGGGACAAGAATGTGCCAAACTGGAAGAGTGTGTATGGTTGGGGCCAAGTGACGTATAGGGAATAAAACGCATGTTGCAGCACCCTAAATGGCCTTCCAAACACAGGGTTGGGTTTGGTGTACAAGAAGGACTGTTTCCAACTGCCACAGAAAGCATTACCCTGAAAGGTAAATACACTTAAGGCAAAAAACCAAAACCAAACCCCTCAAAGCCTATAACCATTTTCAGGAGCTCAGGAGCTAAGCTTAAAATTGGTTGAAAGCTGCCTCCTACCTCTACCCCCTCACCTGTCCCCCTTCAACATCAGCACATTTCCTTGTGATCCCTTTTCACAAAAAAGGTTGAGAAGGTCTGTGGTCTCGGCCTGGTGTCGAAGCACCATGATGCACTTGCTGGCTACGTGCTCTAAGACTGACAGCTTCTCTGCACAAAACAGCAGAGGCTTCCAGTTTCTCTGGCCTTCCCACGCCCTTTTAAATGTGAGGAAGGCAAGGACCAGTAATATCTTGGGTGGTCAGAAGGAAGTCAGACTCACTACATTTAGAGCCCAATGCATTACCCAAAGGAATTACTACAACAGAAGAAGAGGCAGGGAAGATTAGTGGACAGTCGGATAACGTGCACAGCAGTAATACTTGCAAAATCTTCCGTCACTTCATCCTGCAACTTTGTTTTGAATTTAGTTAAAAGGTAATCAGATTATTAATACTCATTCTGGTTTTAAAAATTCTGGAGAAAGGTTATCATGTGGCATTGGCATTGCAGTCAGAATTTGAGTACAAAAATCACGGAAAAGTTGTGCCTCGTCAAGTAACTTCCAAAGGAAGTTTTTCCAACAACAATACAGTCAAATCTTGAGTCCCAAGTGAACTCCGTGTCAGCTTTTTCAGTATTACTGCGCCCTCTGACAAAGTACAACACCATACAGAAGTGTAAGTGGGTTTATAGCTTATCCTCATTTATAATCTAGAAAAATACTACTGCCTGACTGGAAGCGCTGGTTTAAGCGCCCAGCGGGCCTGGCTGGAATCACTGCCTAACCTCAAGGGATCACCAATGCCTCCCTGTCCGTGGCCCAAGCAGCAGTGCAGCACTCGGAAGCACCAGGCACGCTGAGCCTCTCGGGCCCTCGGCAAGTATGAAAATTATCCCCAGTATTCAGGAGTCTGACTCACAAGCACAGGGCATATGTGGAAAAATAACATCTAGATTGATCTTCAGTTTATCTCCCCTTGATTTGTCAACGTACAATTCCGGATGAACCTAGGAACAAAGCAAAAAAAAAAAAAAGAGTCCTCTTTCACTCAGAAGCAAATCAAAAGGCCTCTTTCCCTCAATTGCTCTGGCTCAGGAGCTGATTTTTAAGCGGTGGGATTTGTGAGACACCTGAGCTGCTGCCTCCCACACCTTCCACGGTAGCTAAGCGCTTGCCATTTGTAATACTTTAAAAAAAGACAATAATTTGGCAATCTTATAATCTGGGGTGGGGACAGGGGTTCCTGCGCTTGCTTTCTTTCCTTCGTATTGCCTGCTGGGTTCCTGCGGTTGCTTTCTTTTCTTCGTATTGCCTGCTTGTAGACGGCGGAGACAGCAAGAAGAGCTCTTGAGACGCTCTCCTGCGACAGCGCTACAGGAGGCCGCAAGCCAACCTTTGCGCCAAGCGGCTTTCGGGGGAGGGCAGCCCGCTCCCATCGTCAAGGCGACCAGCCGGGGCAAACAAAAAAACCCCAACAGATCCGCAGGGGATGAAGCTGCTGCGTGGCCAGCCCGGAGGAGGAGGCGGGAGCTCGGCGGGGGTGCGGAGGCACGGCAGGCCGCCCCGGGCCGCAGGGCCGCCTCTCCACTGGGGCACCGCGGGCAGGAGGCAGCACCAGTGGACCGGGCCCACCCCGCCGCCGCTACTCGCCTCTTTGGTGAGGTAGTACTGCAGGTCCGAGAACAAAGGCACCACCATGATGAGCCCGGGGCTGGCGCGGAGGGGCTGGGGCTCCCGGCCTCCTCCGGGGCGGGAAGGTCCTCGCTGCCGCCTCGCCCTCTTCTGACCCTCCCTGCCAACGGCCCCCAGCATCTGAAGGACACCCGAGAGACGCTGACTGTGCCGACATCGGTTAGCTGGAAAGGGCTTGACACCCAGGCGAAGCTGCGGGCAGAGAGCAGTTTTCACTCGGTTTGACATCCTCCCCGCCCCATCCATTGCCTCTGTCTTTGCAAGGTCTGGAGTTTGTTACTAGTGCCCTTTTGAGAACAACCGAGCTGTCCCTCAGGCTCACTGTCGCAATAACAAAGCTGAAAGCAAATCATCTCGGGAGAGGACCGGTGCTTTTTGTGCAGAAGGAAGGAAGGAAAGAAGGGAGGAAGGGAGGGAGGGAAAAAAAACCCGCTCTCTTGCCCCACCTTCGATCCCTGGCATGTAGTCTTCACCCCTTCATTTTGTTAACACCTCCACTTCCCTCTCTCATCACAGGCGACGGCTATGAACTCAAGAGGTTAAATCAGGCAACAGCTCGTAATAGCTTACTTGTGCAAGTAAAGCACTAGTATCATCTTTTCCTAAGCCACATATTTACCTGCCACTTGCTTTTTACTGCTGAGAAAGTGCAGTCCTGCAAAATTCCTTCTATTAAAAAACATTTTACAAATTACTGTCACTAGGAGATGCTTCCAAATGTAAACAGAACAAATGCACCCCCATTTCCCACAGCAAAACAGAATACACTTCCGGGAAGGGCACAAGACAGGAGCCCCGTGATGCTGCAGCTGTTCCTCTACAGGAAAAGAAGGTTCAGAGGCTGACCCAGCTTCCAAGTCTCTGCTTCCAGAACAGCAGCTTTGGGCTCCCTGACCACAGCTGCTAAGGAGTAAGACAGCTCTTGGTGAAGGTCTGACAGCTCCTGGCTGGTCTTGGCACAGCAATCTTGTGCCAGCTGCGTCTGCAGGAGGGACACCTGAAAGAGGCAAAAGGCTGAGCTCAGACAAGCCCACGCTGTTAGGACCATCCGTAGCTCCACGGTACTGGCTATCAGGGAAGACGCACTCTCTAACTCCAGCCCTGTCAAATACTTCGTCCTTCTGGAATGGGAAGTAACAGGCTCCCAGAGTCACCCTGAACTGAACTTAGATTATCAACAATTCAAGCTCCTTTCTGGCATACCATTCACATGTAGAACACCGAGACATTACATGTATATTAAAGACAGAGGTTCCTACAGGATTTAGTAACCCAACTCTTTTTTTCAAAGCACAGATTTGGGCTACTGACACCTTAGTTCCACATGCTTTTTCCTCAGCAGGAGGACTGCTGGTTACACAAGGTAGTGAAGAACTGTTCTGTTATGGTCCAGTTTAAAAACTTGACAGCTAGCACATGAAAAGGGAGCAAACTCTCATTTTTTCTAACTTGAGAGCATTTCACAAATGAGCATAATTTGATGAACAACGCCCGGGGGGAAATGAGCCTTAAAGGACTGCCGAGGCCTTGAAGATCCTCAAACTCTATTATTTCCTGGCAACACAGGGTTGTGCCTGCTGGGCTTTTTGGTGGGAGAGACCCAGCTGCGCTCACCTCCTGTTAGGTTTGCAGTGCAAGTGCAGCCACAGCAGCTCTGGCACGTTGCCTTCTGCCTGCTCTGGAGCGGAGGAGGTGCCAGCACTGGGAGCAGCGCTCAGTGCTTTGCTGTTTTGGGGAAAACAGCTCAGGTCAGAGGTTTTCTTCTGTTTGCAAAGCGACATGTGCTTTGCCAAGGGCTGTGTTCCGCATGGGAATGCAATCCCCAACCTCAAGCTAGGAATATGAAAATACGCTTTCCTGGCAAGTGAACAGAAGCAATTCCTAAAGGAGTTTTATGGCTTATGGAACCTGCTACATTTGAATTACAATACCAAGGTCTGTCAACATAAAGCCAAACCAGATAAAAAGTGGGACCCTAATCTGCTAAGCATCTAGAGCAGACTAGATGTGAAACTCAGCCAGCTCCGGAAGGGGAATGAGCAGTGCTGGATTAGAAGCCAGTAGTGCACACGGAAAGTAAGACGTCAAAGGGACTTCACAGCAAACAATACGCACAGGCTAGGGAACACCACCACTGAAGAGCGGGACAGATCTGACCTTCTCTCTGAACTAATAAGGGCACCTTTGTGAAACTGGGCTTGCAAGCCTGAAAAACCCTCCCACGCTCTGGTAGGTAACCCAGAGGTATGAGTGGGAGAAGTGGCCAGCTGCTGCTAAGAGGAAGCATCTCCCAGGAAGTGGGAGATCAAGTTCCAGTTCTGCAGTTTCCCAGACCCAGAGGAGTGCCCTAACCAGCCAGCTGAGGACTATTCTTTCAGCAGAGCACCTCCATTTTCCTACTGAACAGCTGAAGCAGGTCCACAGTGCAGGCAGACACAACAGTCACAAGGGGAAGGGGGTTCAGTTAGTTATCTGTAGCAACAGAACTTCGGACACTGAGGCTTCCTGGTGAAAACATCCTTAAGATATACCTTGATGGCTTCAGCAGTATTCTCGGCTCACTTGCCAGAGCTAAGCATCATGTACTTCACTCACATAAATCTTACATGCATTTTGCCCTGAACACCTGTGAAGATCCACATCCGCAGGGAGTCCAGGGTGTACCTGACCCCTGAAAGTACGTGGAAGAGATGTCTGGCAACTGCTGCTACTGCCAATACCACCGTCAAAGGATGCAATAGGGTTCAGTAGCTGGAATGTACATTCTTACACTGATAAAACAAGTGGCCATACAGTGCTTAGGTCGCCGACTCAGTCCGATATTGGGATCGTGATTAGCACAGAATAGCAATATGAGACTTAACGATTGCCTGAAGGCTGTAAGCTCTGGCAATGCCTCAGATGCCTGGACACGAGGCAAGAGTACCTCCACTTGCCGAAGCAATGGGTTTGCTAGATGTTTGACTATACCAAGGGGTTCTTGAAATTTTCGGGTTCTTGAAATTTTCAAGTTCTTGAAATTTTGTGCATGAAATGTTTCCTGGGTGGGATATTAGTCTGTGGCCCCAAAGTATATGTATATATACATAGTATACACACACACACACACACATATATATGTATATATATACATGTGGGGCCTTTTCAGCATGCGTCACCTCCTCCTCTGGCGATATTCCAAAATCTTTGCCTTCTGGCCAATCCATGATCACTTCCAAGATTCCTGGGCGACTGGGGTTTCCTATTCGAGCCCATTGTGTGATCAGCGCGACCCACTTACTCCACGTAGCATCAGTTGCGTGATGTGTACAGGGGATCCTCCCTTTGAACATCCAGCCCAGCACCGGCAGTCAGGGTGCCAGGAGGAGCTGTGCTTCAGTACCAACCACTTCCGAAGCAGCCCGAACCCCTTCATATACTGCCAATATCTCTTTTTCAGCTGGAGTATAGCAGGTCTCGGATCCTCTATCCCGGACTGCAAAACCCAAGGGGTCGAACTCAAGTCTCCCCTGGTGCTTTCTGCCAGAGGCTCCAGGTAGGGCCATTCTCCCCGGCTGCGGTGTAGAGCACATTTTTTACATCTTGTCCTGCCCGGACTGGCCCAAGGGCTACTGCATGAACTATCTGCCTTTTTCTTTGGTCAAAGGCTTGTCGTTGCTCAGGGCCCCATTTGAAATCGTTCTTCTTCTGGGTCACTTGGTAGAGAGGGCTTACAATGAGACTGTAATTTGGGATATGCATTCTCCAAAAACCCACAACACCTAAGAAGGTTTGTGCTTCCTTTTTGCTTGTTGGTGGAGATATGGCTGTTATTTTGTTGATCACATCCATTGGGATCTGACGACATCGATCTTGCCATTTTATTCCTAAAAACTGTATCTCCTGTGCAGGTCCCTTGACCTTACTTTGTCTTATGGCAAAACCGGCCTTCTGCAGGATTTGGACTATTTTCTTCCCTTTCTCAAAAACAACTTCTGCTGTGTTGCCCCACACGACAATGTCATCAATGTA